GCTGCATGTCACAGAATATGTCAATGCATATTATTCACAATAATGAAAAGCTAGAAACATTTGTATGTCCAACAACACATTAGGTTGAACCATAGATTTTTGCTGTTTTTGTAGGTCAAAATTGGTCAACTATTGGCAACTGCATATGATTTAACTCAACTGTTAAGAGTTAAATGCATCTTGATATATCAACCTAACATAATGCTACCCAGATTTCAAAAAAACTATAGAGATATATTGCAGTGTATAAAAATTTCAGTGATCAAAAAAAAAATTTTAAAAAACCCCAAACAAACCCAAGCCCACTGCCACTGAATCGATTCTAAGTCACAGTAATCCTAAGGATATAAAATTGAATTGATTATGAAAAAATATTCCAATTTATATGTGATCCAAAAAATGAAAATTGAAACAAGTATCACTTTACATATATTAACATGGCAAAATAAAAACAATGGGTAATTCTAGTGTTGGTAGAGATGTGAACTGCTACTACCAATGGAAACTGGTACAACGATTCTAGCAGATTAACTACAGACCTTGAATGACCCAGAAATCTAACTCATAGGTGTATATCTTCCTTAGGAGGTATACACTTTATGTGTACCATTAAGTGACATGCTTGAGGCTGTTCATCACAGTGTCTTCTGTGGTAGTGGGTACACACACTGGAGAACCAGGCAGTAATTAGAAAAAACAGATTAGCACTAGACAGTTGGGAGCACTGGTGGCATAGTGCCTAAGGCATTTGACTGCTAACCAGAAGGCTGGCTGTTCCAACCCACCAGCCACTCCTTGGAAGGAAGACTGGGCAATCTACTTCCATAGAGATACCACCTCATAAAACCCAAGTGAGACGGAGTCAACTTGACAGCAGTGAGTTTGGTTTTTTGGTTTAGTATACATGGCAACACATTTAGATGAAATGTATTATTTCAAGACAAACAGAATGAGATTTAAAAAACAATATCATGTATGCACACAAAACAAGCACATGTATTTTCAAGGACATATACAAATATGTATATGTCACATATATATTATATAGATATATACATATATACATACACATATATATATGCATAT